TGTGTGTGTGTGTGTGTGTGTGTGTGTGTGTGTGTGTGTGTGTGTGTGTCGGGGAGCAAACACGAGATGTTTCGAGTATGAGTTTTACGGCACTCGCAACACAAACAAACACGTCATATTAGTGCCAAAGATTCAAGGCAATACTAGTAGAGTGACAGACAAATAAAAGAAGGAATTGAGAGGATGAAAGACCATGTTTGATAGGACAGAAGGAGCAAACTAAATCAGAGCAACCGCCACCCGCACAAGAGATGAGAGGCCAGCACTAACAAAAGCTATACATCATAATGCCACGTTGAAGCTTCTCAATGCAAAAACAAAGGGAAAATCCTATTCCGTCGTATAGAGACGAGTTGAGCTTTTAAAAACAATCAAAGAATGACTGACTGCGCCAAGGGCTGAACACAAAGAGCTAAAAAAATCCTAACCACTATAACAAGCTTCTCTGAGAGCTTCTGTCAGTGAAGAAACCTGCACCTCAGGAACAATCCCAAACAAACCCTTAGTCGCTGCTTCTGGGCCAACACTAAAACTAACCAAAATGTGTAAAAACTATTCATGAGCAGAATCATCAAAACAATTTCAAAAAGCATTGCTATATGATACAAATCTTGAAGAAAATTTTTTTAAATTAGTAAACCCTCCACACTTTAAAATTCGTTAGTTTAAAAAAAGCAAAAAGAAAAAAAGAAAAAATATATCGGTACATTGTTTTTCACTAGACGACCTTGAAGGACACATGACATATAAAACTGAAGAGGAAAAAATTATGTACTTGATACAAAACAACCTGTCCAAAAAATAAAAAGCGAAGAGAAAAGAACTAACAAACAACAAAAATATATGATGGGATTTGTGAGAAAAAAAAAAGGAACAACAACAACATTTGGTCAATCTTCAATACTAGAACTGTCATCGTCACTTCTGTCAAACAGTGACGGCCAGCTAAGTCAGGGGAACGTGGCTGCAAGATGAGTGAGAGGCCACTGGGACATATCGCTGAATTTTTTTAAAAGAAAGAAAAAGAAAAACAGACGTTTCCAACAGCCACTGGGACATGAACTAAACCAAAAAAAAAATAGAAAAAAAAAAGAGTAGAGAAAAACAGAAGATGTTTCAAATTCTTGCTCAGAAACCAGCTTTAGTGTAGACTGCAACTAAGAACAATGTGTTTGTTTGTTTGTAGGAGTAGGAGGAAGTTGATTTGTTCCTTTTCTTCTTAACTTAGACTGGTTTTATGACCTGACTCCCTGAGTGTGGATATATAAAATGTTTTAAAAGCAAATTTGTGAGAAGGATGAATAATTTACAATTCTCTTTGTTCTATCCTACTATGATGAAATGAAATACATAGGAATAGCTGTCAGTAGATTTATCTGCTTAGAGTCTGATAGTCTCTCTGATGACAGAGGAGAAACATGGAAAATCTGTTTGTAAAAAAAAGCAGAGGTGAAAAATGTGCTTATTGTCCTGAAGAACGCTATCAGTATCTAAGTGAGTCCATATTTCATTAATGAGTATCCCAAGCAATAAGATATGACCATGAGGTGATGAGATCCACGCATCTGTGATGAGAAATAGACATGGGACAAGATACCTTCATCAACAAGGAAACTTGTTGCCTCTACTACAAACAACTAGGACTGCGGGAATAATCTTTTCGCTGCCACAGACAACAATAATAATAATAATAGACAGCATTTGTATCGCGAAAATCCCCGCTCAACAGCAAGCTCTATGAGCTTCACAATCTATACTTATACTATTACCCCAGCAGACCTCAAAGCATTCAACCTCAACTTCCAGGGAAGCATACAGTGCAAGCGGCCATTTATAAGCGCTAAAACTTTAACATACTGACAAGACCTTTCGCTGTCTATTGTCCGGTATCCATTCCCACTTGGGTGAAGTGAAGAAAATTCGTGCAAAGTGCGTTTTCCAAGGACACAACGTCGGGCTAACGGCTCGAACCCTCGAACCCGCAACCTCACGATTATAAATGCGTCCGGTAGCCTAACCACTATACATGATTGAACATAAATTGGAAATATTTTCCTTATCTTCAATTCTTCTGCTTAAAGCCCTTGAACATATCTTTTAAAACAACAACAGAAAAAACACTCTGAAAAAAAAAATGTATTTTAAAAAATCAATAAAAATAAAAATCAATAAACATAGTCTCGTGACTCAGGATGATGTTCTTCCAAGACTTGGAAGTCAGAGAACAACACTGGACTGCACTCATCGCTGACACCAACTATCTCCTTATTATCTGTTTATAGACTTTCCCTTCTCTAAAGACCTCTTTAAAGATCCTAAGAGTGTTGATATGGGTGTTAAACATATACCTTTTTTTTAAAACTTCTTTTTTACAGTAGTTCCAACACGTGAAACATTGCATTGGTCAGGAGCATTAGACGTAGACGGTTCTAAGTATGACCAATTTAATAAGGAAATATTTCCAACACCAGAGGATTTAGATTCACCCCTGAGTGACTCGAAAACACCCACACATCAGCAAAATAAAACAAGCTTAAAGATTTTCGTGAACGAGAAAACAAATTTGGCAATTGCGAACAAAACAATTTTCCATTTGAGAGTACTTTAGCTTCACCCACTTAATATGAGTCTGAATTCACGTATAAAAACTGTATTTGGCAACAAAAAAAAGCCAACAGAAAATTATTAAAAACTAGGGTAAAGCTGAGTTCTTAAGTGCTCGCCACAGAAACATGATAAGGTACTGCAGCCAATGAATGCTCACAAAAATGTCGCGTAAATGTACATAACTCATAAAGTTAAGCAAACAAGAATGTTCCAAACAGAAAAAGTCCTAAGTCACAAACTGACAACACATCGATACTTAACATAAGAAATTGAGTTCAGTTGTCTGTATAAATAACCATTTCAGCTGAAAGAATGGCATTTGATTATCATGTTCTTGCATGAAAAGGATAAGTAACAAAGGTCACTTCTTGAAATAAGCACATTCAATAAATACTTGAACACTAAAATCAAACATTTCTATATATTAATTGCCTCTAAACATCTTTCTACAGACAGAGAGACAAACAGACATGGAGTAAAGTATTCAGACTGAGATAAAGCAGTGCATCTCAAGATAATCTGGTGCGTTCCATTAACTCTAGACTAGATGTAATAAATGTTTATAATTATTGGTCAACAATTTTTTTTAAAAATTTTGGTACATTGTTTAACCAGCTTGAGCACTTCTCTGCACTCTGACAGCCAATGTTTTTGTTTTAGTAAGAGTTTTACAGCACTTGCAACACAATACGGTCATATAAGTCCCAATGGGGTTTTTTTTGTTTTTTTGGTAAGTGTTTTACGGCGCTCGCAACTGCATTATAAGGTCATATGAGCACGCGGGACACCTTAAACTTTTTCAGTAGGTAGGAAATTTTGATATTAGCTCGGGTGGCGGCCGAAGCCTACTCTTATAGATTTTAGACCACCAAGGGATCTTTAACGTGAGCAACATACACACGGGACCCCCGAGATTTTTCGCCCTTGTCCGAGAAGGCTAGGTGTAGATTTTTCCTACCAGAAGATCAGGGGTGTAGCTGAAAGACGACAGTAAGAAGGAGCCAAGGAGTAGCAGTAGAAAGACTGCAGAAAGAGTCAGAAGCCCAGAGGAGGGTGCAAAGGAGGTGAGGTGGTGGGGACAGGAAGAGGAGACGAAAGCAGACGACAGAACAATGCTAGAGAGCAGGAAAGGAGGTGAAAGGAGACAGTTTTAGAGAAGAAAATGTTTTCAGTCGCTACCCAGATTTGAACCAGGGACCTTTGAATGAGAGGCCAACACCTTAACTATTTCATGTTGGTACTTCGTGGTAGCATGAGCAAAATTAAGTTTCCATTTGAACATATATGGACTGTTGAACAAGCTTGGGAGGGAGTGGGGGGGGAGGGTGGAGGGAAACATGACACTTGTTCACAATGTAAATCAAAACAAAACGTGAAATAAACATAGTGTACATTCATTTTGTTTAGACATTGCTGTTAAATAGCATTTTAACAAGAGCTTCATTCTGTTTGGCAACAGCCGAATAAACATGGAGAAGCAAAAAAAATATACGCATAGAAGCTTAAAAAGTGAAACTGAGAGCACCCTATGCCCTTTTTGTGAGTACAGAACAGAAGCATAAATCAGCTGTTTGTCTATTTGTTTGAGTAAAGGGATGCACATGGACACAACAATGGTCGTTCAGTACGGAGGAAAAAATAAGACAGCCAGACAGACAGAAACAGTATAGGGAAACGAAAGAAGTAGAATCTACCAATGGCGCCCTCCAACTCCAACCACCTGCCAATCATCTGTAAGTAGGTCATGGTTTCACACTGGGATCTACAACAAGACCAACATGGTAAAATTGGACAAAAGTAAAAGTAGTTTTTCTCTGAAGTCAATCAAGAAGAACTTCAATGATAATGGGTCATGACTGGTCCCCCCCCCCCCTTTCTGCCACCCACAATGCTTGACAATCCTTGAGGTTCAAAACGAAATTCAAGTTTTCAATAAATTCTGATTGGAAATATTTAGCATGTAATAACTCTGCTAAGTAAACGCCTTTTAAAGCAAATAAAATTATCTAAAATAATAACAACACAAACCGGCTTTACAACTAAAATCTTGCTGTAACATAATAAGTATTCTTTTACGGGAAATCTCAGTGACAGTGTTAGGGACATACAATACATGATGTGAGACAACTTGCTTCAGTCTGTAATAGCCTTCAACAAAACATGCACAAACACATTCTTTTGTACAATTGACAGATGAGAAATCTACATTCATTCATTATATCCTCTGTCACACGAAAATCAGTACAGTACTCCCTAGCAATATCGCAGTTCCCATTTCGTGGACTCAGTACATGGTGTTTTTTCCAAGGATGTTTCAAGCCAAAAATAGAAAAACCAGGGAATCTTTTTTGACATACTATTGGCAAAAACACGAACGTATGACATTTTAATTTGGGTAAAATTGTTAAAAGTATGTACAATTTTTTAATTTGTTAAAAATACCTTTGGTCTCTCATACTCCAAGAGTACAAAATGTTCAAAAGAGCATTCGAGGTACTTGTAAGAGTTCAGGAACCATTTGTAACGGCATTAAATACATAATGAGTACATTGTTTCTACTTTGCTTTTTGACTATACTTTGCAGGGAGAGCACTAAAAAATTAAAGTAATCCTCCTTTGTGACAGTGACTGTATGCAATTTGCTTTTACACTTTTCCTGTACACAATATCAGTTCTTCTTTAACCTTCCAAGTGCCATTAGCAAATTGGCTGTGGTGTCTGGGAAAATTATATGATTTCCCCATATTATGTTGGAAAATGAGAACAGGCAAACCGAGCAAGGACAGGCTATAAACCACGAAATTTTGAAAAAGCAGAATGTAGATAAAAACAAAAGCTCATTTTTCAAGGTGTTCAAATATTTGGCAATAATAAAAACCGGATAAATGAATCAGAACAGAGACACAAATTACAGCTGATATTTAAATCGGATGCGAAATCACGGAATGAAAAACTTGTGGCTAGCCCAGTTGGTCATCGATGCTTGGAGTGTTTCTGCTTGACAAAAGGCACAGTAGGAGGAACCTTTCTCTGACATGCCAGGTCACTGGAGAACTTTTTGTCTGCATGAGAACATCTGCTGTCCAGGAAGTGCTGGTACCCCAGGGACACCCATTGCCTTAAGGCACGTCATTCCACCTCGGCTTTGACTAGAATCAAATCATAGTCTGGACGAGATGGCTTAACAATGTTTTCAAGCTCTTTACAATCATTTATCTAGTTTCATACAATATTTGGTCGTATATAAGACAAAGTTGTTTTTTTCCTGATCAGACAAATCTTAAACGTAGCACTCAAAGCAGACGAGGAGTGTTGAAACAGCTCAGACAAAGTAGTGTGTGGCTCACGTCAAGAAGTCATTATACATTTTTTGTCTTCATTGCCATAACTTAGGAAAGCCATCTACATCTATTATGATTTCCGGATCAGTCCAGAAAAAGAAATATTAGTTTAACCAGCATAATGCCAGCAAGCTGTTCAGACCCACTGAACCCAAATGAAAAATTATTTTCTTTTTAGTTTTTTAATCTGGGGTATTGGTTGTACCTGCTTTAATATTTTGTCAAAATTCAAAGAGAAATATTTTGTGAAATGCAAAGAAACATTTGGTAAAAATTCAAATTCTAAAAGTTGAAAGAAGGCCAGAAAAGGTACATAATATAGGTACAATCACTAAAAGAATGAAACCTATTTTTTCTCTCTCCTGACAAAGTTTACTTTCTGGGCTGAGGACAGTATAGTAGAACTACTTGCCAACAATCAGGGAAGGTGACTTGCCACAAAACTCACAAACTCCACAACGCCCCACATGTTTATGGAACTCCATAAAATTTCCTAAAATGTGTCACGACCTTGCGAGAGAATTACAGAAATAAATATGATGTACCATTCATTCAGAGACAGAATCAAGCATTTCGGCACACACACTAACTGAAGAAAATACAGCGATCCTGTACGCACATAATACTTTTATAACTTCCGACCAGAAACTCTTCCCAAACATCCTTCCATACGGCACAGTTGTGATCGCAAGGGCTATGTCAGAATGACAGATCTCATCTCACTCCACACCAGAGGGAAGAGAACTCCGCAGGCACTGAGCAGGATCATCCCCGAGCGGTACAGCATTCGGTGCAGAGCCCACAGCGGCTCCGATCGGAACACAAAGTATACGGCGTACACCGCCACCGCAAAAAAATGGCCGATCAAAATGTGAGGTTTGGGATTGAGCCTGAAAATGACAGAGGGGGGAAAAGGTTCAACAATAATAAACAAACAAGATTCACGTTTAACACGTTGTTTGACGTCATTTTTCTTTACATTCTGAATCAAAATTTTTGCAGGTAGTTCTAAGTCTGCTCCGCTGAATTCTTTTTTTTTTTCGCAGTCTTTACAGCTTCACTCAAATCAAACAACCTTGTGCTATCAGTTCTGCCACCAACACATCTCAATTACAGTGAACTGAGGCCATGAAGAACCTAAAGAAACAAAACATAAAAGACCCAGGGAAAAAGCAAAATGTCTATTCCATGTGTATGACCCCAAAAGGCTTTTATTTTAATAAACAAATGCACAAAAAACAGGCTTTTTTAAAAACTGTGTTAATTTATTTCTCATGAATTGTAAGCATAATATTCATTTAACTCATTTAACTCACTGAGCACCACCTCCCGATTTGCCTCCAAGCCCCAGTGGACCACCCATTTCCTCCATTTTTTGAAAATTCATTAAAAAATTGAAATGAAATGCTATTTCTTTGAAATTGAGAGTGCTATTTAATAAGATATGAAACAGACACAATAAACACATTTTGTAAAAAATGAATGACAAAAAAATGTATGGGACTGAAAGTTGGGACAAATTTGCCCCAGAAAAAAATTTTTGGAAAAAAAAAGGAAATGATATGACAAAGCAGAAATCAAATAAACTTACACAAAGTAGTTGTGGCAGTGTGTGTTTGTGCGTAGGAGAATGAAGCATTAGTAATAAATAAAAATATAGATCTAGATTTAGATCTTCCTCTCTGACAGGCTGAGAAGTGTTTTCATTGTCAGTGCTGCTAGTCTAGTACTAGGACTAGATCTGTCATTAGATATTTCAAGTCTGGGTATATATATCTTCACCACTTTAAGGGCTGATTTGAACTAGTACTGGGGCTAGATCTATCATGATCCCCAGCCGGACCAAGCTGCGTACTCGCTGACGAGTCAGATTCACGATCGAGACACAATGTTGGTCCAGACCTAGATCTATGTCTAATGTCATTTCTCAGTCATCTTCATCACTGCTAGGCAAATTCACATTTTGATTTATGAAGTTATCTATCTGATACTTCATTGTCACTTAAATCTTCACCAAAATTATCGAGAGTTTCAATAAACTTCGAAACATCTCGTTGTGCCATGCTTCGAGAAACAACAACGAACTACGAGGAAGTTCCTTACTTTCAGTTGTTCAGTCCGTTGGACAAATAACCCATTTATTCGCACTAAAAGTGATTATATACACAAACCACAAAGAACTAGCTTGTCAATATCTAGTTTAAACCACTGGGGCTATTTGTAAGCATTTTTAAACTGCTGGGTTTACTTTATAGTCACTTTTAGTTGAACCTGCGTACGCTTCAGTCGCGGTCCCCAACGCAAATTTTACCGGACCGCGCATGCTGCGAGAGCGGTGCTTGGTGAGTTAAGGAGAAACAGACTTCTTTGTCAAAGCTATTATCAATGGGGGTTTTTTTCTTGATTGCACTCCTTGACTTTCTGCACCCCCCCCCCCGGGACACAATTTAGATCATTTAGGAGGTGGGTAGCTTCGACCCTGTGTGTCAGAGCCGACATAGATTGAATGGGATACAATGTCTAAGCAGATAGAAATATTCAACAAAATAAGACTTCCCAACCAAGGGATCAAACTCTCGTCTTTAACCTGCAGATGCTAGTGAAATTTTAGGAAACAGGGAAATCTGTATTATTCAACCAGTTGAGTGATTTTTATCCAATTTTTTTTTTTTTCGCAGAAACCTTCATCATTTAAAGAACATGTTTTTATTCAGGTTGACTTTACCCAAAAATGTTTAGAGACAAAAATATTTTAGTAGAACAAGTATGGTTTAAAAGTCACAAAACTTTGGAGGCTATTTTCTCGTTAATTTTACCTGTGACATCAGGTCTGTCCTCGTAGAATTATGCGAATTTAGATGGCCAAATTATGCCCAAAAAATGCAAAATTATGCAAAAATTATGCAAGTTACCGTAACACCTTTCGCAACATGTTTTGCACTTTTTCAACACAAATTTTCATGACTTTTATATTTTAAGTACAGAAAAATTTTTAACAGAACATATCAGTATCAGTAATTTGTAGTGTATTTGGAAAGAAAACAATACACATCTGTTAAAAAAAAACAAAAAAAACTAAAAAATATAACCTCTGTAACTTGCAGCTGTAGATATAGATTCTCTAGAGTCACGACCCCACTCGTGGGCCACTAAGCTACCCACGTAGGGAAAATCACTCTCAGACTCAAATCCAGTTATCAATGTTTTTCTTTTAGTGCTGTTATGAAGAGTAACATGCCCTTGGACCATTTGAGGGGTGTCCCATGCTTGGCACTTGGTATTTTATGTTAGTAATCCAACCTTTTTTGGGACAGTGTCAGAAAATCCTAATTACCCCCCAAATGGGACAGGCTCCTCACATGGGACACTAAGGCACCCAATATGGGACACCCCTAGTTTTCAGCTTGTTGGGACACTAATGTACTCAAACTCAACATGTAATTTCATTGCTTGATGTTCTGCTTTCATTTGTGCATGTAAATTTCATTTTCACTTTAAAACAGTGGTACTGATACACTGAACAATGACATATATATAGGTCTATTATAGTCTATATATCATCATGCTCCCAACAAACATGCATGCTGTAACAATTTCACAACACATGGTGCAGGACACTTTTGATACTTGTAAATCCTCTCTGGACACTTGAGCAAACCTGGATCAACTTTGCTAATGTCTTGTTTTGCTTTTTTAAACCAGTTCAAATTTTTTTTCTTTTGTGACCGACGCTCTCTGGCTCCCATTAAGTGCTTGGGGTGTTCTGATTGAAATGGCATCCTTTTGTCTCTAAATAAATAATACAATTTTAATACTGCTTGAAGGCTTCCCTAAAGCTCTTTTTTTTTGGGGGGGGGGGGGGGGGGGGGGCTGAACAGCATCCACTGTAGCCTGGATGGCATCTTCAGAGTTGGCAAGGCGCTTTGATGGTGCCATAGTGCTGAAGAAAAAACTCCACTCTAGCATGAAAGTTCAGAGATCAATGCCAATTTGTCCCACTTAAAAACTCAAACATAAGTGTATCAGTACCACTGTCTCTCTCTGTAGACTGAGTGGTTACTTTCAAGAATTAACATTAAAAATTGTCCCATGTAACTTGAACAGAGTAGCTGTTACAATTTAAGTTCAAAACTAAAACCATGTCGCAGCTGTCCCATATAGGAAGCCGTCCCATATATGGGTCCAGCAGTACTGGACCTGTCCCACATTAAAACCAATACCTTTAATGGGCCACCTGTCCCATGTTAGGGATAGGGGATAGCACTAGAATATTGAAAACTGGCCCATCTAGGGCTTCACACCCTGAACTGGGGAGCTGGCCCATCTAGGGTTCCATAGTGAAAGACAGTACCCCTCACATGGGACAGCCAAAATCTCGGGACAGTGGTTGATTGGAGGAAAAAACCCTGGCTGATACTATTTTTAGGTTTCAGGAAGACCCTTTGGGCCAGTTGTTGCTATTTTAAACTTATGATGTCATTCACAGTACCTTTATGAACTTTCACACAAAAGAAATGAAAGTGGTAAAAATGGCGGCGGCCATTACTCGCCTACTCGACTGAGAAGAAAAAAAAGGTCTCACAAGAAAAGTAAAGTCACGAGAAGGCTGCCACTCTTGCAGATCCAAGAAAAATATGTCTAGATTGGATCTAAACCAAAACTGGGCTGCTGAAAGCCGCGAAATTTTAACGAGACGCGATCAAACCGACTAGATTCAGTCAGTGTCCCATTGAGGGAGGTGTCCCACGAAGGGGGTCGTGACTCTAGATCTAGAATCTAGATCTGGGAAAGAAAAATGTAAAAAAAAAAAAAAAAAAGGACATCTGGACCTCTGATGCTGACACATTACTAAAATCAGGAACACCTGTCAAACATGAAGCATCAGCAGACATGAGAACAACAACTTGGTGGATTGAAAAATTGAACATGCTCAAGGAACAAAATCCCAAACCATAACCAAGATCTTCTACCAAGGGAAATAACTAACTTTTCACTTAAACAATGATAGTACATAACAAGATGGGCCGGGCCACTTCTCTCTTTTAGCCAATTAAAAAAGTGTCCTCAAAATTTGGTGGCGCCCTCTTCACAAAAGCGCACTCTTTGTGAACAGAGTTACCCTACTTGAGTTTTTAAAAATCAAAGTGAAACTAGCAAGTTTTGGGATAAATTTCGGAAGAACGCTTTTTTAAAATGGTTACGCTGACAAAAAAACCTCTTCCGGAGGAAAGGATGATGGTTTTCTTCGTTTAATTTGACTTTAGACTGAAAGGTGAGAGGTCATTAAAATTTTTAAAAACTAAAACTCCGCACTGAACATACCCGAACTGCTGATGAACAGCAGTCGATCTGCGCACGCAAGGAGGTGCTATTCCTATTCTTCTTCTGGAAAAACAAAAGAGAGCTTCAAAACAGACATCTGAAGCAAAGAGCATACTTCCTGCGGACACTTTTTTGGCTGAGTGGCCCATCTTGTTATTCACTATCTTTGACTTAAATAAGACTTATTACGGTGATTATTTCCCTTTAGTCACATGGCGAGGCGTTTAATTAATAAAATTAATTGTTTTGTTTAAAAAAAGGTAAAAAACATGAAAAAACGCGGGGAATCCAAAATTATGCAAATGTGCAGAATTACGCAAAAAAAACGCGGCCGCACAATCGCATAATCCTACGGGGACAGCATGAGGTAACCTCGACTTTCTCAAATCCCTCATATCTCGACTTCTGTGCAAGAGAGATCAATATTTCTTCATTGAACTGCAACACATACCCAGGAAAAGAAATCAAGACTTACACAGACAGAAGGCTGACAGGTCCTGCAACACACCCTCCCCCCAGCTTGAAGTATTCCAGACACGCCTTCTTCATGCTGACAAGATGTTCTGAAAGTCAAAGAGATCCAACGTCATTGTAAGCATGCTAGCCACAACTTTCATTTCAACTGCGATTAAAGTTCACCAATAATCAATCCAGAAGAAATGGGAACTCAGTAAAAATAATCTTTTACTTCTGTTACAATTTTCCCCCTATTCCTGCTAGGTTCATTTAAGTCTGGATAATATGAACATGCTGGGCATATCTTTGACAAAAAGTACATTTTTTAGCAGTCATGTCCAAAAAATGACTTTAAATTATAAAAGTGCTGACTGAAATAGTGGGTGGAAAATTCATTTATGGCATGAGGAAGCATTTTTGAGGGTACAGCCATTAACATGGAGGATTATGAAATTTTTTTCCATGAGAACCAGAAATTTAAGACAAAGATCAACCTGTTACGAAAGTAAGAATTCTTTATTTATACCATATTTTTTTTTTATAAAAGAAGAGCAACTCAGTTTTGTCCCATCCTTCTTTTCCCTGTTACAGTGGTGACAGACATACACATGGAACTTAGTACTTGAGATTTTGTTGATGATAATTAATAATTGCATTTACATAGCGCACATCCCCGCTCTACAACATGCTCTACACGCTTTACTACTATTAAAAGCCCAGTAGACATAAGGAACCAGCTTACTGTTATCAGCAGCAAACAACTCATACAGAGCCTGGGCCAGCACGTTCACAACAAACGAGTGGTTGCCTTTACGACGCAAGTGGAAAACCCTGAGGGCCTTGATGATGGCCTCATAGTCCGTTAAATCGGGAATTCCTCGGAGCAGCTCCCGCCAGATGACCGCGTCATTGAGGCAGACGCTCATGCCCCCGCCTGTAAGGGGGTGCCTCATGTTGTAGGCGTCGCCCAGCACGAGAACGCCAGGCCGCTCCACGGGGCTGGGGGGAAGGAAGCTGTTGGGCATGCTCCTCACTCTCCCATTGATGACTCCGTCCCGGAACGACTCTCGGATGTGCTCTGAAATACACGGGCACTAATTTTTAGTTTTTGTAACACCGGGTGTCCACTGAGGATGGGATCAGGTCGGGTCGGGTAAATCGCCCGACTTGTCGCTGAAAGCAAACGCGTTTGTTTTTGAGGCGCTGAGTCCAGCGATCGGTTTGTGCCACGATAACCGCTTCGCGCCCTCAATCTGGTTAGCAAACCAACCCGACCCAATTGAACCAATGGGCACCCAGTATAAGAGTTTTACTGCACTTGCAACATAAATAGGTCATGTAAGTGCTTACGGTTAGAGTTGTTACTAGGGAATAACACACCCCCCCAAAAAAAAACAGGAGAGATAAGGACCTTTGAGGTCCGATAGAAAAAAAAAGAGCACCCACCAACACCCACAGATATCACTTGCAAAACTGCAAAATATAAGGAGGTTCATCAGAGATGACAGATATCATCATCTGTTTTTGGGGGGTTTTTTAGTAAGTGTTTTACGGCACTCGCAACACAATATGGTCATATAAGTGCCGAAGATTAAAGGTGTTACAAGAGAGTAACACAAAAAAGAAGGAGGGGGGGATTTAGGTTTATATTTTTTTTTTCCGATTAAAAAGGGAAAATCCTCCCCGGGGGCCCCCCCCACCCCCCCCAAAATTTCCTTCCCCATTTTTGCCGGGAAAAGAAAAAATTTTTTTTTTCCTTTTTTTCCTCCCTTCTTAAGGAGGAATTTACCAGAGTACCTTGGGGGGGGGGGGGGGGGGGGGGGGGTCAGTTGTTGTTGGGTTTTTTTTTAATGTTTTTACTTTGAGGGGGAGGGGGTACAGAGGGTTCAGCTTGCTAGACAAATATATGTCAACAGCTTTCTGTCTTTGAAAATACGTGGACTCAAATGTGTCGATTGTGAATCTTGATAGACAAAATGAAACTACTGAACAGACAGCTGTGAGGCCAGGTGATAAAAGATACAGCTGACATAAGTAACACAACAGCTGTGGTGTAACCAAACCCATGCACAATACCAGTTCTGAGGTATCACTTTACAATCAGCCTCCTGCACAACAGCATATATATAGATCTAGACCAATGGTTCTTATCCTGGGTTCAGTCCAACCTAAGTACTTTCGCCAACCAGTTTCAGGGATTTGGCACAGGTCAAGACACACACACACACACTATATCCTTTTCATTCACCCCACTCCAAGGGTCATGTGTGAAACTTGCTGGATTCGGTACCTCCAACAAGGTGAGTTAAGAACCACTGATCAACAAAGACAGACAGACAGAATAATGGGGAAAAAGCTAACAGAGCAGGCTAACTACAATATAGTCTCACACAAAATACAACGTGCACAAGGCAGGCTGAAAAACCTGCCACATCAGCAGTTATTCACCAGGTAGTTTTAGTTATTGCGAGGGTTTTATGGCACTTGCACCACAAAAGGCCGCATAAAAGCGGAAGATTAGAGGCGCCACTATTACAAAGTAACAAAGAAAAAGAGGAGAGATTTATCATGATGGTGGACGTTTGATAAGAAAGAAAGAGAAAACCACACATGAGCAACTGCCAACCATCCACAGGAGGAAAGATAAGGTTGACAGATGTTTGATAGGAAAGAAGGAACAAACAACACCAAAGCACCTGCCAACCAACCACCCACCTGGCAGCTGTGGTGCAACTTTATCCAACAGATGATCCTTCAAGTTTTTCGGCATAACTCCGCGGATATCCACCAGCACCCTGGTGGAGTGGGATGAGATCTGGTAGACCAGGATCGGACTCGGGTCGGCCAACACCAGCTCGGCGTGGTTGTCAATTCTCTGTGGGCAGTGCTCCAAGAGAAGTCCGACAAAGTGGGACGTGACGCGGACAGGTTCCGAGACCAGGGTCTTCCGGAACTTGGAGAAGCATCCATCCACCACAAACGTTAATGGGGCGTACAACTCCTGGAGAGAAAGAATTTTTTTTTTTTTTAATGACGAAAGGAAGTTCATAAGTAAGGTTCTCCACATCCAAGACTAATTGTACAACTCCTGGGAAGGAATTTTTTTTTTTTATCAAATGATGAAAGGAAGTGTATAGGTATTTTTCTCCATATCCCAGAATAATCATGTGTTGACCATTTTTTCAATTAGTTTGCCAGCACAACTGGTAAGACTTATGGGCCAGTAGCTATCAATACGCTGGTATGATAGGTATTTTAAAAGAAAGACTTTCAGTGACAAAACAGAAAGGTCTGTGCCAACTGGCTACAAAAATAAACCCAAAAAATCAGAATTTTTCCCTCCCTGAAGAATTTTTTTTACTTTGATTAAAAACAAACAGCTGAAACAGGGATGAAAAAAACCCCAAATAAACAAAGGAAATTTTACACATAAACACGAACAACGAACAATTCTTGTAAGCTTTCGATTGATAGCCAATGTGAATGACTAAATACAGCCAGGTCAAACGATAAAATTATTTTGACTACAATTTTATCTTGCACAAAACTCGCAATACAAACGACATGGAACATAACAAAAACACCTCATCAAATGTAAAACTATAGAATACTATGACTAATGACAGCGACTGTGTTCTCACCTTACTCTCATCTTCACTTTTCTGTCTGTACTGGACACCAGTAACCACTCCATCTTCCTCCAGCAGTTTCGTTACAGTTCCTTCAATGTACGTGACACTGGTAGAAGAAAGTCATTTTATAATTAATAGATACAACAGGCTCTACCCAACAACTGCAAACACAGAATAACTAATAAAAAAAAGTATGAAGAAACTAAAGAATGGTGACAACACCTAACTTTCTCATCAATGGGATTTACAGATGATTGTACTTTCTGAAAAAAAATAGTCTCAACTAAAAATATGACCACCTTGTTAGATACATCCTAGAGCAAACTAGGAAATCTAGTGCATATATTTTAAAGTAAAGACAACAATACAATAATTTCAAATCCGTAACTTTTTTATCGTTTTCCCATTGTGGTCATCATAAATGAAACCTTTCTTCAAACAATTATCAGCCCCCTGGAAACACTGATCAAAGCTATCAGCTGTACTTACTTGGGTTCTTTTTTTGCTTGTTCCCTAAGGGACATGATAAACCTTCCATGATGAAAGGCAGTTCCTTCTGTGACACTTTCAAAGTCATTGATGCCTGTCGGGTCATCACCTTTGGGGTAAGGCACGACAATTTCTGCCTCAGCCTCTAAATTATGAAGTACATAGCCTTTGATCTGATGACCATCCAAGTCACTGGTGCACTCTGAAAATATGCAATCACAAAAATGTTCAGTCCTCAACTATCTTCAAATAAAGACAGCATTAAAATATGGTCATGTAGTAATCATGAACCCAAGACATCACAAGAAAAGATAAGAAGAGAATACGTAAAGGCAACTGTTGGCATGGAGACCTGCCAGCATTTCATAAAAAAGCAGAGAATAAAACGGTTTGGACATCTGTTACAAATGTCACCCAATTAGCCAGTTTTGAGAGCCTATAACACCAGGTACTCAAGCAACAGAAGAAGAGGTAGGCAAGAAAAAAAAAAAAGAAAAAAAAATTCTTGAGGAAGTCAACAGAACTCAAAGAAACTGCAACACTACAGTGGAAACTAGTGGAAAGAGCAGCAGAGTTGGCCAACCATATCAAAATGCATCTCCCCTCAATGCTTAATTAACAGTGACAGAGGAAGAAAAAATAAAAATACTAAGGGCCAAGAAAGAGTTAAGAATGTAACGAAAGTTTTGCTATCAAAGATTTATAAAGGCTAAATTGTGCTCCCCTTCTCTAAGAAATGAGGTTAGTTTTAAAACAAAGACGTCTAGAGGAAAGGTGAGAAGACTCAAAAAACAATAACAGTGCAGAAAGTAAATATGAGAGATTTGAATTGAACAGCACTGACGGGAGGTATTTCTATTCCCTTTTTTAAAGGATTTTCCACTTCACCAACTCCCC